TGTTTTCTGTTGCTGTGAGAGGCAGGATCCTGGGGTAGATGAACCTTCAATTTGTCCAGCTTAGTTTACAGTGCTTTTTATGTCTTTACACGATATAGTTGCTGCTACTTGTGTGCAGATTAAATCTGTATTTGTGAAGTACGTGTTAAAGGGGCTGTTTGGTGCTGTCCTATTTTTGGCAGGCCTTGGAAAACGGAGTCCCCACAGATGTCATTCACAAACTCACAGCCATTGACAAATGGTTCCTGTATAAGATGCGCAGCATTGTGGACATGGAGAAGATGCTGAAGGAAGCAAACAGGTAAGAAAAACCAACAGCTCTGTCTAAGGACACAATGAGACTTCTGGGGAGCCTTCTGCTGGGAAACGTGTGACGTAAGCTCTGAGCACAGCAGCAGTCAAAGCTGAGAAGTTTATTTCCGTGCTTGAAGTAAGCAGTGTTGTCTTAAATCCCAGTTCACTGCCTCACCTGAGCTGAGGAAATTTCTGAGAACAAGCTTTTTAATAAAATAACTTACTTGAGTGCTTAAGCATCTTGGCTGTTCTCAGGGATTATGCACGTTCTGGTTTATTTGGGAAAATCCTCACTGTATGTCTGAGGCTAAGGCTGGAAATGAGGCTGGCCTGCAATGAGTAACAGCAGGCTGCACTCGTGCCTAGGGCAGAGTTAACCTTCAAACACAGGGCTTCTCCTGACTTACTACACCTGTGAGTCAAATACACTGCATGTTTTTTCTGGCCTGGCCGATTGATTTTTAAACTTTTCTGCCTCGCTGTGGTCATGCAGTATGTGCTGCTTTTGTACTGCGCTTTAAAACCCTTCTAATTCCAGATATATTTAAATATAAATCAACTTCTTTCTTCAAGAAAAATGACCATATTAAACCAAGCAGGAAGGGTAGCAATAAATTAAAGTGCTGGCCTGTATTTCAGCTCCAGCCTCTTGCTGACTTGAGCTTTCCTTTCGTGTTTTATGAAGTCGGGAGAGCCTGCTTGCCGAGTTACCGGCTTTTCCGTTTCGGGTACCCGTTGTGTTAACCACTTTCACCACATGATGGCACTGGGAGCGCACCGCAGCCGGTACATAACCAAGGTGCTGGCTAGTTCATCTACTCGGATTTCTGCTCCTTTGACCAGCTGCACTGTTTTAATTGAGCAGCTCTTGCTCTTCCTTGGCTGCCGGAATAAGCTGGATCTGGAGCTAAACAAAGACAAATGTGGAAGGAAGATGTTGAAGAGAAGGAGTAGCTTGGTTGTTTACAGAAATCTATTGTTGGGCTGCACAAGTGTTTGCCCTCTAACATCCGTGTCATGTTGCATTTGTCTCAAGTGCGTTAAATATATACATGCAACTCCTGAGAAAGAAAAACAATCTATCCAGAATCCGTTTGGTTTCCCGGCCGTTAGAGGAGCGTGCTCTGGAATGATGCACTTGGGACCCCAGAGGTTGGCTGGTATCAATCCATCATCACTCCACAGAGGCTGATCATGCCCAGCTGTCTATAGCACTGAGGTTGCTTTGCCGCTTGAGTTGCTGGTGGTGTATGGCAGGCGATTAATACTACTAGTAATGTGACCAGTAGCTGGTACCATCCCACGTAGTTTTTCATCCTTCTGGTGGCTAGGCAGCAGGCTATGTAGGTGTCCTGCTACAGAAAGCCTTTTTTGCAGTATCTAGCCTTTTACCTGGATCATACACAGTCCATGTTCTGTCCCTTGTAAGTGAATTCATGCAATTCAACTTGGATTCCAGGTGATCTAAATTAGTCTCATTCACTTATCAGTGCAGATTTTCACACTGCTATCTTTACTCAGACGTTCCAAGGAAAACTGTCTTACTTCAAAACCTGTCCTGGAGGGAGGGGATGCACTGTCTGGCTGCGTTAAGATGAAGGCACATTGGCACAAAGGCAAATGAGCCAGGGAAAAACACTTCTGACCTGAACTAAGAGACTCGTCCAGTGAGCCACATCAGGAAACACACCTCTGCAATAGCCAAGGGAAAGCTAATTGAGTGATGCAAATGAGACTTGGCACACGTGTGCTCCTCCTGCAGCCAGCTGTTTCCAGTCCCCAGTATGCCTGGCATGAGTTTTACCTGTGCTACACGATTATTTCCAATTGAAAAGAATGAGCTATGACACCATCATTGCTTTAAATCTTTCTGTTGTTGAAATACAGTTACTAGAACCAGAAGTAGTTACCCTGATCCCAGGCGCTGTTTCAAGCTTGCTCTCTGTTCAGTCGAATCCATGCCTTCCTTTTTGTCTCTGGATGGATTTGGACATTCTTTGCAGTGAGGTTTTGGGTGCAGTTGGAGTAACATCTGCCAAAAGTCTTGATTTGGGCCCCGCAGAGCTGTTGTAGAGACTGGCAATGAGGAGATGGCTTCTGCCAAGAGGAAGTTTAGAGCCAGAACAAGTGGGTATGACAGACAGATGGGGAAGGAGGATCAGAAGCAGGTGGAGGCCTTTGTGAGCATCCTCACCATGTGGAGTGATTTCGAGGTGAGCAGAAGGCCTCACTGATTTATGCAGGGAATCTGTTTCCATGTGTGAAACATTGTATGGGATAATGTTATGGGGGGGGAGAGAATCTTTCTGACCTGTAAATGTTTCTCCACTCTCAGTGGTGTACAGGCAAGGCCAGCCCTTAGCAGAGACAGTAGAGACTGGGGAGAGTCTCTGCCCCAATTGTGTTTGTACCAGAGATCTTCTTTCCAAGGAAGATTTGACCTGGTGCTGGTGAGACTGTGTATCTTTTGTCATGCTGCAGCAGTGTTTCCATTTGACTCTGCCTCTGGGCCCTTTAAGATGGAGAAAAAGTGTTTTGGGGTTGTGTGATTTGGCTGCAGGAAAGAAAATGACCTGAGTTGAATTTGGAAAAGAAAGCCATTTTGAGAGTACTTGCAAGAATATCCAGTAATATCACACACTCATTAAACATGTGCCTCTTGTTTCTCCTGTGACCTACATAATTTTTATTTTAAATGGAAACTTACATTGTGGGCTTTTTGTTGTTTTTTGACTGATTACCTTCATAATCCTAACTATAACCTTCCCTACCACACACACAGAGGAACAAAATCATGTACACATACACACATGGGACGAGCAAGCACCATTCCATGCTGTCAGTCCATGAATAGGCAATGGTGTACGAAGCAGTGGCAGTGTAATAGGATGTGCTCCTATCAGG